AAAAGGATGTAATAATAGCTATGCTTAATGGATGTTTAACAATTATAACAATTTGTATACATGTATAATAGATTGATGATACTAATACCGGAAAAAACATGGAATTGAAAATTATTAGACAGTTATTAATGCTAAAAGAATAGAATGATTTAGAATAGGATGTAAAAAATTCTTTATTATTGGATATATTGAAGATGATATAATGAATCATTATAATATAAATGGATACCTATTTAAAATACCTTGTTTAAAATAGAGAAACAATAGTGATAATTATACAAATGAAGTATAATAATAATGTCTACAAAGAAATTTGATTTGACAATATGTGATTTTTGATAAAGCTCAAGTGATGACTATGAAAAGGTCGCAGAAAGACCTTGTAACCAATCGACACACTGTAGGCAGTTGAAGAGGTTTTTATGTTATATGTTTTGTGTTTGTTTGAAAATAAAAATTTTATTTAAAAAAAAACAACCACTGTCTCCATTTCATATTTTTTTTGGCAATAATATGGGAATGATTAACTGTTGGATTTCTTCAGGGTACCAATTTCATTTCCCAGGGTAAACTACAATCCTGAGAGAGAGAGAAACCAAGTCTTACTAACCCTGATTAACTTTTACAGGACTTAGTCAAGGTTGGTTGATGCTAGACTCTCCTCAAAAGACCTCTGTAAGGCCCTGTTTCCGAACCTTGGCAATTTTAAGATGAGATCATGCATTCTCTCACTATCTCACGCCCCAAAATTATTTCCAACAACCTGGTAAAAGTAAAGTCTTACACGTAGGCGAGAAAAACCAAAAGGACACATGCAGATTGAGTGAAACCAGGCTTAATAGCAGCAACTGTGAGAGGAATCTTGGAGTCTTAGTGGACAACCAGCTAAATAGGAGCCAGCCGTGTGCAGCAGCAGCCAAAAAAAGCCAATGCAATCCTAAATTGCATTAAGAGAGGGATACAATCGAGATCAAGGGAGGTACTAATACCACTCTATAAAGCCTCAGTAAGGCCACACCTAGAGTACTGCATCCAGTTTTGGTCACCACACTATAAAAAAGATGTTGAGACTCTAGAAAGAGTGCAGAGAANAGTCCCTACCTTAAAACATGCTAGCTGGGGAATTCTGGGAAGTGAAGTCCCTACCTTAAAACATGCTAGCTGGGGAATTCTGGGAAGTGAAGTCCCTACCTTAAAACATGCTAGCTGGGGAATTCTAGGAATTGAAGCGCACACCTTAAAACATGCTGGATGGAGAATTCTGAGGGTAGAAGTCAACTCATCTTAAAGTTGCCAAGTTGGAGGGGGGGGGACTTCTTCCACTTACAACAAGGTTGAGTGCTCATCCAATCTCTTTTCCTTCAACGATGGTTGGAGAAGGATGGATAAATTGCTCCCACACACCCCATGTTCCCCACCCCACCCCCCTTTGGCTATCCCAGAGCACCCCATGACTGAGATGGACCCAAAGGAAAGCCCCTGAAAGTGACCTCATTTCAATCCAATGCAGGTAGATCTCCCTCACCCCACCCCAGAGCTAGGAGTGGGATGGGGTGGGTTTTGGGAAGCAGCTTGCCTGCAACCCTTCGGCATTGGTCTCCTGTCCCTCAGCCCAGCAGGCTTCCAAACAAAGGCCGCAGCAGCTGACTGGGTAGATGTCCAAGGTCCCTGAATCAGCAGCTCTGACTCATCAATTCCACCCCTGTTCAGATCCTGGTCACCAGGGTGCCCGAGTCCCATGACCAGTTCTGCCCTTTGAAACAGCTCCACACTTTGCAAGGGAAGAGAAGCCCCCCCCTCCCCGCAAGAGTCCCTTGACCACGTAGACATCACATGAAGCTGCTCACCGTTTTCTCTTGATCCCAGGGCTGCTGGGACTGGACTGGAGCTGGCCAAACAGAAATTGAATCAGCTGTTGGGGAAAATATTCAGTCAGCAGACAATAAGGCAGCCTCTCTCGGTGAATCCCCTGGGGTTCCCCCCCTTTCTGCTTGCAGGGACAACCTTCGAATAGCCACCTAAGATGTCACCTGTTTTGCCCAAACTGTATTTCCCAGGATTTCATAGATTTTCAGTGGCTAAGATCAGAAAGATCAGAAGGCCAGCGGTTCGAATCACTAGCGCTGCATAATGGAATGAGCAGAATGGCCGGCTACATGACCACGGAGATGTCTTTGGACAGCACTGTCTCTTCGGTTTTGAAATGGAGATGAGCACCGAGTCGGGAACGACTAGCACTTTTGTGCGAGGGGAACCTTTACCTTAGGGATAGAAGGGACTTTGGAGGTCTTCTAGTCCAACCCACTGCCCAAGGCAGGAGCCTTATACCATCCTAGTCAACCGGTTGTCCAGTATATTCTTGGAAACCTCCAGAGATAGCATCTACAGAGATTCTCAATCCTCCAAGTTGACCCAAAAGTGCTCTTTTTTTTTCAAAAGGCAACTGGATTTCTTAGTTTTTTCCCCTTGAAAATATTTCGCTTCACATCCAAGAAGCTTCTTCAGTTCTAAGCGGAAGAACTGAAGAAGCTTCTTGGATGAGAAGCGAAATATTTTCAAAGGAAAAAAAAACAAGAAAGTCCAGTTGTCTTTTTTGGGGGGGGGAAGCACCTTTGGGACCTTCAGTGATGGTGCACCCACACCTCCGGGATACACCTGGAAACACCTGGAAATCCCAGCCAGCATGAATTGAAAAGCCTGGTTTATCCCATAGACAAGCCTGTGTGGATGGATGGGAGGGGCTGAGATACTTTTGGTTTAAGCTAAATTCTGCAAGTGAACATTAAGACTTCCAAAGAGTTGACGTTTGCACCAAGGCAGACACACATTTATTTATAATACTAGTAGAGTTGCCCCTTTTAAAATCAGAGCCACAGGCAGCTTACAGCCCAGATTATAAAAACAAAACTGTGCAAAAAAGAAATAGCAAAGAAAAACAAATGCAGGAAAATCTGACTCCATCATCAAACGCATTTGATGCAACATGCAAAACGATGCACCACCCCATCTTTACCCTATCTCAGTGCTTGGAGGGAAAACCCCTCTCTTTTATCATAAGCATATCATATCATATCAAGATGGCATTTTGGCAAGGGATGAGCTGCCCCTCACAAAGGCTGGGAAAAATGTTTTCTGAAAACAACTGGCTCAACTTATCAGGAGGGCTTTAAACATGTTTAAAGGGCTTTAAAGTTCTAAATTAGTTAGTTTACTTTATCATTACACCTTGTACAGTGAAATTAAATGCCATTTTCAGTGTACAGTGTACCTTTAAAAAAAAACCAGGCATCCTTCACATTCTATACAATTGAACTGAAAATCCCTGATACTGCAATATTAATTGCACTATGCCGTAGAATTCAAATTGGCACCAGGTTAAGAGCCAATGGAATTCAAGAGGGGCTGGACTTGAACCACTTGTGGGAATGTAATGATTCTAAGCTGATGACATGCTTAACTCCCCTCCCACCGCCCTGCCTTCTCTTCTCCTACATCTACTCAAAGAAAGCATGGTTAAGCAATCCCAAACGGAAGCCCACCAGAGGTTGAGAATCTGTCTCAAGAGTGCTCCATCTGTCTCAATCCCCGCATTACCTTGTTGATCACTTTCTGATGCTGCAAGTGATTTTGCCGGAGACAAAGAACTTCCTTCCACAGAACTTCA